CTTCACCCCCCCACCCCCAAAAAAATCCGTCATCTCCACACAACAATATTCGGAGCTTAGGGTAACCCTAACTTTGTATTTGCAGGATCGCACACTGATCGTTTCCTTGATTGTCGGTATGGGTTTTTCACCCGGCCCACGAGGGCGCGGGTTTCCTGTATAGTAAGTTGTTGAAGGTCCGGCACGCCCTAGGGCACAGCGGTGTAGGAATAATAATAATAATATTCGGAGCTACAACCATAGTATTCGCGCAGTCTGCGTTTTCCCACTCAGCAACCTCAGAGCTTTAGGGTCTTGTACGCTTCCTCCAGAGTCTGGAAGCCAGTGACACCCAAATCCTCTTTGGTAAGCACCTTCTGGCCACTTGGCTCCGCCCAGCTCTTGTCGCTAAACTCATCCCAAAACTCCATCATGACGCCCATCTCCTCGGCCCACAGCGGCCAAATCTCCCTAAAAGCCTCACCACTTACCCGCACAAACTGCGCCTTTTTACCCTGCGCCGTGGCCCACGCCTGCAGCATGTCGCCTGCCCGGCGGGTCTCCGTCGCAACCAGCACGATGTTGCCATTGGCAGTCTTGTCGCGCTGCTCGACCACAGCCTTGACAAAGGGCCCAATGTTGGCCGTCACGTCGCCGATGGTGGTGATGGGCGTCTCGGGGGCGTAGTTGGCAAACTGGATGTACTTGCCTGCCGTTCGGGATGTAGTAGGGCGTGAACATGGGGAAGACGTAGTTGGTCGCGTACCATGTGACCCAGAAGAAGGTGGTCTTGGCTAGGAGCGCGGGCTCCTTTTCGCGGATGTAGGCGTCGATGCGGTTCTTGCCTTCGAAGTGCTGGACGAGGTATTTGCCGCCCGAGATGGCCTTGCCGTTGGGCAGGGTGCTCCAGATGTAGTGCTCGAGGGTTGGGGTCGCCGCGGCTGCCTTGGCGATGGTGATGCCCTGCTTTTCTTCAATCTCCATGGCCTTGGTTGGCGACTTGTGAGTAGCGAACGGCTCGAAGAAATTGGTCACGCCGAAGATGATGTGGGAATTGGCGAAGGCGGTCTTGAGGCTCTCCAGGTCGTTGAGGTCGGCTGCGACAACTTCAGCGCCCTGCGCGGCGAGGGTCTTGCCGGCGTCGCTTGAGGGTTTCCGAGTGATAGCGCGGACCTTGTAGGCCGGGTTGTTGATGAAAGCATTGACGACACCCTTACCCTGCGCACCGGTGGCGCCGACGACGGTTACGACCTTGGCCATCGGGGTTTGTCTTGTACTTATTGGAAGACGAGTGGTGTTGTCAAGTGGTTGAGTGACACTATGAGGGGATGTTGATGGAGAGCTGTTGGGCGGTTGAATAGATCTCTTCAAGTTCTGCTCGCAGGCTTGTCTAAACGGTGGTGGTGTGACGATGATAACGTTATCATGAAAAGAATCTGTCTCAACAACGTCGAGATATCCTGTATTTGTACATTTCCTAACTTCCACCCAACTAACCTGAGTTACAAACGTGAGGTTTTCCACGATATACGGTGACATACTAATCAATGATTATGTCATTGGCTGCCGAGGAAGATGTAATAGCCCGCAATGGCCATGCGGCTGTCAGCCATTAGAGAAGAGGCGTCTGATGATAAGGAAAATGGATTTTCCTGCATGCTTCGTGCTGAGTCGCGCAACCTTTCTCTTGTTAACTTGCTACTGTACCTTAGGTATATCAAACGAAGGGCGTGCAAAGCCACTGGGCGCAGTATGTTATGGGCCGCCCAGTTTATTTCAGGCTCGAGTCCCGGGCCGGCTGAAACGCCGTCCAGGGAATGAAAGCCCCGAGCCGTACTTTGCTGACTCTTCTGTTGCACGACATTTGAGATAATTAGCCAAAAGCTGGGCCCAACAACTAAGTTAGTTTGAAGTAGGACAGAACCCTGGTACAGTAAGTAGGCATCTAATGACGTTGGACAGGGCGTGCATAAAACACTTTTTTTGAAGACTCATGTTGATCTAACGTTAGCCTAAGAACAGTGAAGCCGGGGATGGAATGAGAGGCGCACACATGCTCGAGCATGCCCTGCAATGGCACAGTTACTCGGTGTATTAACCTTCCATGCTCGACCGTGAGGTGAAGGGTATTTTCCCTGGCGATCGACAAGCATTTCCCCAAGAATACCGCAATAGGCATTGAAGTGAAGCATCACGGGCAAGTTCAAGTCCGCCCGATCATCTCGAAGCGGAGCCCATTCTATGTGGGTGGCTTGTTGTGCTCTAGCTACTGGAATGCCGCCTAGGACACCGTGGTCTACTTCACGTCATTGTGCCCGTGTATCCTCACCGATTAGACCATGCCCTCTCATATCCTCCTGCCTATCCCAGTAAGCTTTGGCATTTGTCACTGGGCATGATGTGATGGTATTGACAGTATCTTAGATTCGTGGGTAGGGGCGTCGGGCGGGACCTTCGCAGGCTAACCAAGGCTGAAACTGATGATAAGTTGGCTGCCTCAGGCCGTGTGGCGTTTAGCTTGGAGGCCTGTGATATCATTGTTCAAACCATCATGAATGCAGAGGCGATATGGAGTCTTCTAACTCCTAGGTTCTCTTCTCCTGTGATAAGACTCGGACGCAATCAAGACGCGACTCCCTTCGATATTCTCTTGCAGACACTATGCGAAGCAACCATGAGACCCCAGATTTTCTTGCAAATCATCATCTCATTTCTGATCAGCCATAGGCTTGTCCAGGCAGCTTGTCCCCCCGAGGGATTCAACAAAGAAAGCTGGCGGCACAGCTGAAAGCCAGACTCGAAAAGATGTGCGCAGCGGGCCAGAACCCAGGAGCTGATCCTAAGGACGGGCAGTTCGTGATCGACAAAATCATCTGGTCAGTAATAATCAGCGACCTAAGCATATGCACCTCTCCCGTTGGGAGCAAGAAACTGGAGCCTTGGGTTTCTGGGATTACTAAGAAATGCTACGATACCGTTCCGCGAAACGCCAAGATTTTTGCCCAAGGACGAAGGCGTTGTGGCTGACCCTTAGGAAGAAGGACGATTGTTTCGAAGCATGTCTGCCAGGAGACCAAAGATATTATTGGTGCGGTGTGTGAAGAGATAAAATCTGAACTCATTATAACGTTAGTATAAATTAACTAAGTAAAACCACTTAACATTAACGCTAGTTAACGGTAAAATAATTAGGAATAGACAGCGCCTTAACCAAGCGCTAGAAGGAAGTAAGCAGTTTAACCTTATAGCCCTAGTTACAGGAGCCACCTGTCAATATGAATCTAAATGGCGAATAGCTGGAGTGCAGTCGTTTACTCGAAGGCATTGAGAGTGAATTCGAGACCTCGTGGCGAAAAGCTTCCTGTAGACGTCTAACGTACTTGCATAACGAGTGGCGCAGCATAACGAGTGGCGCACTTTCTTCCTCCAACAACCACCTAACTTCATCACGAAATTTCTTCCACAACACAACATGGAATCTCTTCCAAAAGAAAGTCGTATGATCCTTGCGCTCGAAGCTCTTAAAAATGACCCTAATCTTTCCGTACGAAAAGCTGCTACAATCTACGAGATACCCGAAACCTCGCTCCGTCACCGACGCGCCGGAAAGCAACCACGACGCGAATTACCTGCCAACCTTCGGAAATTGACCGACTTGGAAGAA